GGGCTACGGGGAGCTGCAGGAGCTGGTCATGGACAGCAAGAAGGAGCTGTCTTGGGTGGAGGCTGGCCACTGGCTCAAGCTGGAGGAGGACTTCAAGGAAGCCGGGCACTGGGGCCAGCCCCATCTCTCCTTCCTGACCTACCGCAGCCTCCTGGAGATCCGCCGGGCTTTGGCCAAAGGTGGGGACACCGGCTGGGGCTGGGATGGCAGCAGGGACCCCACACTGGCTGGCTGGTGATGGTGCTGTCCCTGCAGGTGCTGTGCTCCTCGACGTGGCGGCCACCTCGCTGCCAGCCATCGCCCACATCCTCATCGACGAGATGATCTACGAGGGGCAGATCAAGCCACAGGACCGGGATGACATCCTGAGGACGCTGCTGCTGCAGCACAAGTACGGCCGGGACTGATGGCCCCGTGGGGGGGACCCTGGGGTCCGGGTCCCCCTGGAGCCTGGCACAGGGTGGAAAAGCCCCCTGCCATTTGGCTTTGCCTTCCAGCCCAGTTTGGGGGTCCCCACACATCCCCAGGGCTGGGGCTGTCTTATGGGGTTTTGGGGGGCTCAGTGGTGCTGCCCTGCCTAACGCCACCCCCCTGCTGCTCTAGGCACCCCAGCGAGGCCGAGTCGGCCGTGACCCTGCCGCCGGCGCAGCTGCAGCGCTCGGGCGCGAGCCAGGCAGAGACGGAGCAGCCACTGCTGCGGGAGCAGCAGCCCCTGGAGATGCGCAGGCTGGCCGGAACCGAGCAGGCGAGCGGGGACGGGGCTGGGTGGGGGGCAAGGGGACAGCGGGGGGCAGGGGTCGGGGGTGCTGGGTCCAGCCAGGGTGCAGGGAGGGCTGCTGGGAGATGCACACGTGCACCCCAGTGCATGCACACACAGAGATGTGTGCACACACACCTTGGCACACGCAGGTGCACGCACCAGGCAGCGGCACCCCAGGAGGTGTGCGGGCTCTCGCACAGCCCTCCCCGTGCTGTGCATCTCCGGAGAGCGCATGCACCCACTGACGCACACTCGTGCACGCTCGCACACCTCTCCGCACACACTCCCGCAGGCATGAGCACACACAAGTGCGCAGGCACGAACTTCCACGCACGCCGCTTTCTCTCGCCCTCACACATGTGCACACATGCAGTTGCACACACATGCACATGCACACTCGTGCCCGCACATGCACGCACATACCTGCACACTTGCAGGCACATGCACATACGTGTGCACACATGCAAGCCGGGGAGGCATTGCCATGGGATGGTGCAGAGGTGGTAGCGAGGGAGCTGGGCTTGCAGGGAACGAAGGGGGACACGTAGGGGATGGTGGGGGACACCCCGGGGATGGAGGGGGATATGCAGGGGACAGAGGGGCCCGTGCAGGGGACGGCCACCAAGGACAGACAGCTGACTCCTGCCATTCATGTGCCCGCCGCAGAGCCCGAGCGGGGCCACCGGACCCCAGCTCCCCGAGAAGATCCCCGAGGATGCCGAGGCCACTCTGGTCCTCGTGGGTGAGTGGTCGGTGGGGCTGCGGGTGCGGGGTTGGGGTGGCGGGCACAGGTCAGGGCGGTGGGTGTGGGGCCAGGGTGTGCAGCGGGAGCTTTGGTGTCTGCCTGCTTGCTCACTCGCTGCTTTTCTTGCACCTTTTTTGACTCTCCCCGTCCTCAGCTCTCGCCGCCGCCTGCTGCCGCTCAGTGCTGCTCTCTGGGCCCCGTGTCCCCATGTCCCATCTCTCCACTCATGTCTCTCTGTCCCCTGTGCCCCCGTGTCCCCATGCCCTGATGTGCCTGTGCTCCCATGCCCTCCTGCCCCTGTGCCCCTGTGTCCCAATGTCCCTGTGCCCCCATGTCCATGTGTCCCTGTCCCTCTGTGTCCTCATGTCTTTGTGTGTCCCTGTCCCATTCCTTTTGTCCCCCCACATCCCCATGCCTCTGTGTCATCTGGTCTCCAAATAACTCTGTCCCCGTACCCCTGTGTCCCCTTGTCTCCGTATCCCAATGTCCCCATGTTTCGATGTCCCCATGTCTCCATGCTCTTGTGTCCCCACTTTTCTGTATCCCCGTGTCCCCGTGCTCCTGTGTCCACATGTCCCTGTGTCCCCGTGTCCCTGTGCCCGGCCACCCGTGACCCCCGTCCCGTCCCATCCCATCCTCCCCCCAGGCTGTGCAGCCTTCCTGGAGCAGCCGACGCTGGCGTTCGTGCGCCTGAAGGCCGCGGTGACGCTGGACGCCATCCTCGACGTGCCCCTGCCCGTCCGCTTCCTCCTCGTGGTCCTGGGCCCCGACACCCCCCACGTCAGCTACCACGAGATCGGCCGTGCCATTGCCACCATGATGTCCGAGAGGGTACGGCTCCCCCCCCCCCGCCACCAGCACTGCCACCGCCACCAGCACCCCTGAGCACCCCAAAGTCCCCAGCCCTGGGGCTGCACCCTCTAATAGGGCTCGTCCACCTGTGCCACGTCCCTCTCTGTGCTCATGTCCCTGTGTCCCCTTGTCCCCACGCACCTGTGTCCTCGCCCCTCTGGGTCTCCATGTCCCCATGCACCCCTGTCCCTATGCCCATATGAATCCCTGTCCCCACACTTCTGCGTCCCTGTGGCCCCATGCTCCCATGTCCCCATGCACCTGTGTCCATATGTGGCCATGCCCCTGAGGTCAAACGTCCCCTTGTCCCCATGTGTCCAAGCACCCATGTCCCCATACTCCTGTGGCCCTATGTCCCCCATGTCCCCCCTTATCCCCATGTCCCCATGCCCTCTGTCCCCAAGACGCTGTGTCCCCACGCCCATCCTCATGCCCCCATGTCCCCATGTCCTTATGTCCCCGTGATGCCCCATCCCTGCGGGGATGCTCAGGGGCCGGGTGGGTGCCCAGCAGCACCCAAGGAGATGCTGGACAAGGCTGAGCGCCTGTCTCCGGGCCACCCCGCAGGTCTTTCGCCGGGATGCCTACCTGGCCGAGGGCCGCCAGGACCTGCTGCAGGGGGTGGAGGACTTCCTGGAGGCCAGCATCGTCCTGCCGCCCACCGAGACCCCGAGCGAGCAGCTCCTTCGCAGCCTGGTGCCGCTGCAGCACGAACTGCTCCGTCGCCGCTACCAGCCCCCCGCGAAGGCGCCGGACGAGGGCTTCCTATGGGGCCCCCCCCCCTTGTACGCGACGTCCCCCCATGGCCACCTGCTTGTGTCCCCAGGGCTGGAGGCGCCGGCGACGGAGGATGACGACCCCTTGCTCAGGACGGGGCGACCTTTTGGGGGGCTGGTGCGGGACATCCGCCGCCGGTACCCCAAATATCTGAGCGACATCAAGGACGCCCTCAGCCCCCAGTGCCTGGCTGCCGTCATCTTCATCTACTTTGCGGCGCTGTCACCTGCTGTCACCTTTGGAGGCTTGCTGAGTAATGAGGGGGACAGGCTGGGGACACTCTGGGGGAGGGGGACGTCCCCCAGCTCGGCAGAGTTATCGCACCCCCTAATCCTGGTGCCGAGGAGTTTGGGATGGGGGGACACAGCGCTGTGCCCGCCGGCACCCACCGGCTCTGCCCCCCCCAGGTGAGAAGACCAAGGGCATGATGGGGGTGTCGGAGCTGCTCATCTCCACCTGCATGCAGTGCATCCTCTTCAGCATCCTCAGCGCCCAGCCCCTGCTCGTCGTTGGCTTCTCGGGGCCCCTCCTCGTCTTCGAGGAAGCCTTCTACTCGGTGGGTGCCACCCTGCACCCCTGGGTGCCCCCCACCCACCACTGGCGGTCCCCGCAGGGGGCTCATGGTGTCCCCACCAGCCTTGGCAGAGGCACAGGGTGCTGCCATGCGGGTGATGGCACAGGGGTGCTGCCATGAGGGGATGGCACGTGGGTGATGGCACGTGGGGATGGCTCAGGGGTGATGGCCCACGCAGAATGGCACTGGTGGGATGGCCCCTGGGTGATGGCCCATGGGTGATATCATGCAGGTAGAGCCATCCGGGTGATGGCACAGGGGGGATGCGAGGTGCACGATGCCGTGGGGGTGACGCCAAATAGCTGACACCACATGGGTGACACCACGCGGGCGACGCCAGGCGGGCGCTGCCATCGGGGTGCTGCCAGGCGGGTGATCCCACAGGGGTCCTGCCACCCCAGGGTACCACTATCCCCATCCCGGCACCCCCCAGCCCCCGGGCAGGAGGCACGGGGCCACCGTGGGACCCTGGGGTCCAGCCCACCTGGGTGCCCATGCCAGGGGCTCCGGGGGGCTGATGGGGGCTGTGTCCTCTGGCTCCCCAGTTCTGCAGTGACAATAACATGGAGTACATCGTGGGCCGGGTCTGGATCGGCTTCTGGCTGATCCTGCTGGTGCTGGTGGTGGTGGCCTGCGAGGGCAGCTTCCTGGTGCGCTACCTGTCCCGCTACACCCAGGAGATCTTCTCCTTCCTCATCTCCCTCATCTTCATCTACGAGACCTTCTTCAAGCTCGTCACGGTGAGGGGCACGGGGGTCCCGCAGTGGGGAAGGGGGGGGTGCTGCAGATCGTGGTCATCACCCGGGTTTCCATAGAAACAGTGGGAGCCGGGCGAGGGATGCAGGCGAGGGATGGAGCCCATCTCCCAGCATTTTCTCCCCCTTCCCAGGTGTTTCCCGGCTCATGCTTCTCTCCACAGGGGGATTTTGGGGCAGGGAGGTGAAGCCCAGGCAGATGTCCCACCTGGGCCGCAGCAAACATGGTCCTTGCCCAGGAACTGCCCAGAGAGCCCCCATTTCTTCCCCATCCCCTGGCTTAGACCCTTCCCGAGTGGCTGGTAGCAATGGGACAGTGTCACCCTGCGCACTGGGTGCCCACAGGGACATCTCGTGTGCTGGAGAGGGGACAGGCAGGACACATGCCCCATCGTGCCCTGCACCCCCATCACACCAAGGCACCCCCGTGCACCCCTCTGCAAGCTCAGCACAGCCCCCAGTACCCCGAGTGACACATGGTCCGCAGCAGGGCCACGCTCATCCGTCCCCACCATGCCACCTAGCCCCTGCTCCGGCCCCACTTCCAAGGGAGGGTGGGGAAAACCCGAGCCTAAAAATAACCCCCTGCTCACCATATGCCCAAGCTCCCAGCCTCACCAGTCACCCTGGCACACACCCTGCACCCACACGCCCACGAGGACGGTGCCACGGGGCTCCCAGCATGGCAGCAGGGGTGCAGATGGGATCCCCCATCGCCACCCGCTAGCGGGTCTCCCATCCTCCCTGACCCTCTCCCCTTCCCTCCCCAGATCTTCAAGAATCACCCGCTCAAGCGGCATTACAACGTGCAGCCTGAAGTCAAGCCCACGGTGCCAGAGCCCAACACAGCGCTGCTGTCCTTCGTCCTCATGGCCGGCACCTTCTTCCTGGCCTTCTTCCTCCGCAAGTTCAAGAACAGCGCTTTCCTGCCTGGCAGGGTGAGGACGGGGGGGGCACGGTGGCATCCCCCCCACCCCATGGGGCCCCCGGCGGGGACAGCGCTGGGGGCAAAATGGGGGCTTGGCGGGTGCGGTTTCCCGAAAGGGGCTCACTGAGACCGTGCAAACTCATTACATGCTCCTGCGGACGTCTTTGCCGGTGGGGACGCGGCGGGGGGGGGACCCCCCCGCCCCGGGGGGGCCCCGGGCGGGCGGCGGGGGGGGACCCCCTCGGCCAGGTGGAGCCACAGGCAGGTTTAATGTGGTCATGGCATCCCCCCAGGCCCGGCGCTTGATCGGGGACTTCGGGGTGCCCATTTCCATCTTCATCATGGCGCTGGTTGACTTCTTCATCAAGGACACGTACACGCAGGTCCGGGAGAAGCGGGAGGGCAGGGCTGGGGGGGACGGGTGTCCCCAACACGGGGACGTGGAGCCAGGTGCTCATCCCCGTGCCCCGTCCCCGTCCCCTCACTCCCCCATCTCTGCTCCCATCCAGAAACTGAAAGTCCCCAAAGGGCTGCAGGTCACCAACTCATCTGCCCGGGGCTGGTTTATCAACCCCATGGGGAAGGACAACAGCTTCCCCATCTGGATGATGTTCGCCTCCGTGGTGCCCGCCATCCTGGTCTTCATCCTCATCTTCCTCGAGACGCAGATCACCACGTGAGGACCTTGGGGGTCTGAGGAGGGGAGGGCTGCGGGGTGCCCGGTGGGTCGGGGACAGAGGGGACATCCCCGGGGTGCTGTGTCACCAACGCGTCCCCTCTGTCCCCGGCAGCCTCATCATCAGCAAGCCCGAGAGGAAGCTGGTGAAGGGCTCTGGCTTCCACCTGGACCTGCTGCTGATCGTCGCCATGGGAGGGCTGGCCGCCCTCTTCGGCCTGCCCTGGCTCAGCGCCACCACTGTCCGCACCATCACCCACGCCAACGCCCTCACCGTCATGAGCAAGACCTCCGCTCCCGGCGAGAAGTCCCAGATCTTGGAAGTCAAGGAACAGCGCATCAGTGGCTTGTTGGTGGCCGTGCTCATCGGTGAGCTGGGGGGGGTGCCCTCCACCCAGGCGGCGAGGGCTGGGTGCTGCTGGAGGCTCTCCCTGACCTCTCCTTCTCCACCACAGGCGTCTCCATCCTCATGGAGCCCATCCTGAAGTACATCCCGCTGGCCGTGCTCTTCGGCATCTTCCTCTACATGGGTGTCACTTCCCTCTTTGGCATCCAGCTCTTCGACCGCATCCTGCTCTTGCTGATGCCACCCAAGTACCACCCCAGGGAGCCCTACGTCACCCGGGTGAGTGGACCCTATGTCACCTGGCCAGGTGGCCGTGGGCCTGGGGGTGTCCTGGGCTGTGGCACCCCATGGTGCTGCCTGCAATTGCTTGGGGCTCCCCAGAGAGCCTCCTCCTTTGGTGCTGAACGTTTGCTGGGCTCTTTGGGCCACTGGTCCTGCCCCCCCAGCACCCAGCACCCTGGGAAGGGTGCAGCGTGCTGGACTCAGCACCCTGACCCCACTGGGCTCCTCGTCCCGCAGGTGAAGACTTGGCGGATGCACCTCTTCACCTTCACCCAGATCGTCGTCCTCGTGCTGCTGTGGGCGGTGAAGTCCAGCCCGGCCTCGCTGGCGCTGCCCTTCGTCCTCATCCTCACCGTGCCCCTGCGGCGCTTCCTGCTGCCCAAGATCTTCCGGGAAATCGAGCTCAAATGCGTACGTAGCCCCGGCACAGGCTGGGAGCCACTGCAGTGCTGTCCCTGTCCCCATCCCCATCCCTGTCCCCATCCTCATCCCCATCTGTGTCCCCATCCCCATCCCTGTCCCCATCCTTGTTCTCATCCCTGTCCCCATCCTCATCCCTGTCCCTGCCCCTGTCCCCATCCTCATCCCCATCATAGCCGTCCCAGTCCCCATCTCTGTCCCCATCCTCATCTCTTTCCCCATCCTTCTTCCCATCCCCATCCCTGTCCCCAGTCTTACCCCTGCCGCTATTCCCACACCCATCCCAGCCCCCATCCCTGTCCCTATCCCCATCACTGTCCCTTGTCCTCAATCCTGTCCCCATTCCTGACCCCTCCCCATCCCACCCTGTCCCCATCCTCATCTGCATCCCTGTCCTGATCCCCGTTCCCATCCCCATCCCTATCCCTGTCCCCGCCCCTGTCCCCATCCCCACCCCGCCTCACGCCCTCTCTCATCCCTCCAGCTGGACGCTGACGACGTGGTGGTGACCTTCGAAGAGGCGGAGGGCACGGATGTGTACAACGAAGTGCAGATGCCCAGCTAAGGGCTCGCTGCCGCCCGCCCCCCGGCCCCCCACGCCCACCCGCTTGTAGCTCCACTGCTGCCATCCCAGGGGGCTGGGCGCGAGAAGGGGGACTG